TTGCGCGTGCAGCTCGTTCGCTGGTGGCAGACACCCTCGCTCGGTGGAGCTGGTTCTCTGTGATGCTGGCTTGGTCTACGCTTGGTGCTTTCCGCCCTCTCTCCAGGTTGATTGCTTGTCATCGCTCGGCACTCTTTCTCTCTCATTTCTCTTGCTCTCTCTTTGATCGTGCAGCTGCCAGCTTCACACGGACACCCGCCCTTACTTCAGGGCTGCGCTTTGTCGTTGCTGCTCAACTTTCGTGCTCTTCACCCTTCTTCCAGGAGGGCTCTTGCTGTGAGCTGCTCGTCGCTGGCTGGATCACTCACTCTCAAAACTTGAAAATTGTATTTGCACACCTCTTACACAACTCTGATAGCTTAGTACGATACAGCTTATCGCAATCCTCGATTCCGCAAGCGACTTAAAACATCAGAATGAGTGTAGAATAAAACTTTCAGCGATACTCTGTCGGCTCATGCCGAACTCAGCTCTTAACAACGCATCGTCCCTTCTCGCTGTGAGACACGACACCCATGGTTGATCTCGAGGCCATGCCCCGGAGCCAGCCTGCCCCTTTGCAAGACTCTGTCGTTCGCAGCGCTCCTCCTTGCAGAGCTGTCCCTAGCCGAGCTTAAAATGTGTGTGTCGTGTTGCTGTTTATATCTGAAAATGTCTCCCCTCTGCGCGTCTCTTACGAGAAAAAAACAGATGCTTTCTCCGTCATGCTCTCCCCTCGCGGCCACGCCTAATTGCCCCCCCCTCTTCCCTTGGTGACCCCGGGTGGGCTGCTTTACATCAAATTGATGTTTGTTTGCACTCCCAACCCCTCTCTTCGTGGTGTCTGCTAAGGGAGGGGACGCACCTTTCATACGTATTTAAGGCTACCATGTGTTTTTGTCAAAGTGTTGGAAGACAAAGGCGGCCGGGGAGGCTCTGATTTCATGGAATACATATTATCTGGTCTTTGTGTGGTTGACCTATTTTCTTGTATCTCTTTTGAGTTACCCTAGGTCTAATCTCTTGTGATTATTATTTGGTTTATGTTTAACCAAGATTTGTAATGTTATTAGATGTTACCTCTGGTATTTCAAGGGTTTTATTAATTTTTGCTCCCTGTCTGCATCCAGGGATCCGTGCTTAGTTCAGGAACTCATGTACTTTGGTTCTCTTGGTAAAGTCACGTAGATAGAAAGATACAATAAGAAATAATATAAGGAATACTGCAGTCTATAATGTCGACTTATTCTTATAGCCAAGCTTCAACTTTTTCCATACAAAAAAAATATCTATCAGTTATAATGTCCATTTGCCCTGTTCTCTGTGTCCGTGCCTGTGATTGTGGATATTTGTTTGTGAACTGTCCAAAGCGTCAAGCTGGTCATGGCATGCAGTCTTTTGGCAATCTGGAGATTTTGCAGATCGTCGTTAACCTCCCTTTGCCCCGGAGTTTATTATTTAATGGCCTTTTACGACCTCCAGATGCTTGGTGCTTGTGGGGGGTAGCGGGTTTGAGGGTGATTTATTTATTTTATCGATTATTATTTTTAAAAAATATTTGCAAAATCATTATTAATATCAATATTGGAAAAAGGCCTATACAGTGAGGGAAAAAAGTATTTGATCCCCTGCTGATTTTGTACGTTTGCCCACTGACAAAGAAATAATCAGTCTATAATTTTAATAGTAGGTTTATTTGAACAGTGAGAGACAGAATAACAACAACAAAAATCCAGAAAAACGCATGTCAAAAATTGTATCAATTGATTTGCATTTTAATGAGGGAAATAAGTATTTGACCCCCTCTCAATCAGAAAGAATTCTGGCTCCCAGGTGTCTTTTATACAGGTAACGAGCTGAGATTAGGAACACACTCTTAAAGGGAGTGCTCCTAATCTCAGCTTGTTACTTGTATAAAAGACACCTGTCCACAGAAGCAATCAATCATTCAGATTCCAAACTCTCCACCATGGCCAAGACCAAAGAGCTCTCCAAGGATGTTAGGGACAAGATTGTAGACCTACACAAGGCTGGAATGGGCTACAAAACCACTGCCAAGCAGCTTGGTGAGAAGATGACAACAGTTGGTGCGATTATTCGCAAATGGAAGAAACACAAAAGAACTGTCAATCTCCCTCGGCCTGAGGCTCCATGCAAGACCTCACCTCGTGGAGTTGCAATGATCATGAGAACGGTGAGGAATCAGCCCAGAACTACACGGGAGGATCTTGTCAATGATCTCAAGGCAGCTGGGACCATAGTCACCAAGAAAACAATTGGTAACACACTACGCCGTGGACTGAAATCCTGCATAGCCCACAAGGTCCCCCTGCTCAAGAAAGCACATATACATGCCCGTCTGAAGTTTGCCAATGAACATCTGAATGATTCAGAGGACAACTGGGTGAAAGTGTTGTGGTCAGATGAGGCCAAAATGGAGCTTTTTGGCATCAACTCAACTCACCCTGTTTGGAGGAGGAAAAATGCTGCCTATGACCCCAAGAACACCCTCCCCACTGTCAAACATGGAGGTAGAAACATTATGCTTTGGGGGGGTTTTTCTGCTAAGGGGACAGGACAACTTCACCGCATCAAAGGGACGATGGACCGGGCCATGTACCGTCAAATCTTGGGTGAGAACCTCCTTCCCTCAGCCAGGGCATTGAAAATGGGTCGTGGATGGGTATTCCAGCATGACAATGACCCAAAACACACAGCCAAGGCAACAAAGGAGTGGCTCAAGAAGAAGCACATTAAGGTCCTGGAATGGCCTAACCAGTCTCCAGACCTTAATCCCATAGAAAATCTATGGAGGGAGCTGAAGGTTTGAGTTGCCAAACGTCAGCCTCGAAACCTTAATGACTTGGAGAAGATCTGCAATGAGGAGTGGGACAAAATCCCTCCTGAGATGTGTGCAAACCTGGCGGCCAACTACAAGAAACGTCTGACCTCTGTGATTGCCAACAAGGGTTTTGCCACCAAGTACTAAGTCATGTTTTGCAGAGGGGTCAAATACTTATTTCCCTCATTAAAATGCAAATCAATTTATAACATTTGTGACATGCGTTTTTCTGGATTTTGTTGTTGTTATTATGTCTCTCACTGTTCAAATAAACCAACCATTACAATTATAGACTGATCATTTATTCGTCAGTGGGCAAACGTACAAAATCAGCAGGAGATCAAATACTTTTTTCCCTCACTGTATGCAAACACAGGGACAATTTCAACCGAGAAGATGGATTCTGGCTTAGCAGTCATTCGAAGGATTTGATAAACCATTTCGGGTCTTAATTGATTGATCACGCTTAAGGTGGCTTTCAGACCGCATCCATTATTTTTCGGCTCCCCCCTCCTCTTTTCCGAACATAGATGGACTCGTTCATCTGAACAAACTGTCAAATCTCTCTCCGTGGTGCTAACGTTAAAAAAACCCGCCACTTTTTTCAAATTTTCTTGTTGTGGTTTTCACACCTGATGATGATTGCTTGTGTTGCAGTCGAAACGTCGTGAGAATTTTATTGTTTTATATTTTTCTATTATTTTATTGTTTCCCTTCTACGTGACTTTACCGAAAGAACCAATAATATGATGTTTGTTTACCCAGGGAAAGCCACGTGACTCTCTTACAAGCGTTCGCAGTAGGGGACGATGGATGATGCTATTGCGGGTGATATTTCAGATTTGGCAAAAAATTTTGGCAAAAAAATTGGCTCACGAAGCCGATGCGTTGGCCCGCTCTTGCGAGTGACGCCACGGGGTCTTTAACGTCCGCCGTGAAATTAGCAGACGCAGCGTTGTTTGTTAACGGTTTAAAATCCCCCCCCCCCCACCGGGTTAGTCACCAGGGCACTTCGTGACTGGGCCACGTCACCGCACGTAGACAAAGACGCGCGTGCGTAAACATCACGACGCTCGCGAGCGAGCTCGGCGCTCGTCCGCGGTGGGGCTAGCACACAAGAAAGTAGGGACCCTTCCCATCACATACGTATCCAGAGTCATACTTTGTAAATTGTATCAATCACAATTCACAAATAATAATAATAATAATGTCTGATCATGATTTTGTATAAGGCGACGATTCGGAAAATGTCCCTTCAACTCTCCACCACGAATGGCCATTGACCGAAACGTTGTCCAATTACACTGTTTGCGTTTCGGCAAGTGCTCTGGAGGAATGTGTTCAGGTTGTTATCTGAGCTTTACATCACCAATGCCAATGCAGTGATCACGACACTTTGTTGTTGTTGAATATTAATTCGCACCCCTAAAACCACTACTGGCTGATTGAAGCGCTCACCACACCGTGTCGCTGATGGGAGGTGGGTGGTTTTGACCATACTTCGTCATGCTGGCCAAATCCCGCTTGGTGAAGAGAGGGTGGGGGCGGAGGGCGGGGGGTTTGAGGACCGTGGTCAGGAATTGAACTCGAATTAGCCGGTTTCAGAGCGCGGTTGCGCCAACAACGGCGCCACCGCTCCCACGCCGCATCAGTGGTCTACTACGTACCAAGATCAAAATAGAAAAACAAAATCCACGCGATTTGCCGCCACTTTATACGAGAGGATTACTGTATCGACGGTGTCGAAATAGGCAGTGGCAAAAACAGCCCGAGTGGAAAGACATTGTGACCTGGACCATTAAACTCTCACGAAGGCATCACAACACCAGCCTTTGGTTCTAAAACGAATCTCTGACTCTCCGTCAAGGCGTCTCACTGCCTCGTCCTGGCGACGCGTCTCATCTCCGTCCGCAGCCCAGCGGTGGGAATTCCACATTCCTACGACGGCGAGCAAGTTGTGGCATCCCTGAAGACCTCGGAGGGCATCGGCAAGCACCGAGCGCGCCCCGCCACCGACACTCTGCGTAAGAGGCCCTGGGGCCGCAGCATCGAGCATCGCCAATAACGGCAGCAGGGCAGCGGGAACGCGCGCGTTACATAACGCGCGCGCCCACCGCGCACACTGCAGCGACGACAAGCGGAATGTTTCAGTGGTCGTTCCAACAGCGGCGTGACCTACCGCGAAGAGCGCCCACGCGCTGTGCCGCAAACCTCCCGCGGCGCTGTCCCTGCCCTCCTCCTTCCCCTTGAGACGCGGCGACCGCCTCCCCGCTGGTCGCGACCCACGCGGCAGGCAGCAAAGCGGTGGGGCCGTCCGCTGTGGCGGCGAGAGGGATGCGGTCTCTGCTGCCCGAGGATCGCCCCCCCTCCCTCCTCCCTCCTCCTCGCCCTCGCCTCTACACCCCCCCCTTCCACCGAGGAACCCCCGACTTAAACGCGTGCCTCTGTTAGGTTCCTCGAACAATCGGCTCGTGGTCGCGCTGATGTCACGGAGGCTTCCCGTCCGCAGATCCGGCTTGGGAACGGCGAATCCCGCCGGGTTTTAATTCCCGCCGTCCATCGCCTCTACCGCGGCGACGAGCCACCGCGGATCGCCCAATCTGGAGTTGACGTGGGAGGAGGGAGCGGCTGTTGAGTTGCGCACGCGGACGGGGAGCTCCCCTCTTTCTCTCTAGCGCGCTCTCTTTCCTCTCTCTCTCTCTCGTTCACTTTCTCTATTGGTGTATCCACCAGCTCACACCCAGCCTGCATGGGTACGCGTGTCAATCTCCCTCTCTCTCCTCATGTATGAGTGTATCTTGTGTGTCTCTTCCTCTGCGTGCGTATGTCCCTCTCCTCGTGTCTCTCTCTCTCTCCCGTGTGTGTGCGCGCGTGTCCCTTTCCCTCCGTGTGTACCGCCCCCTAGTGTATGTGTATCTCTATGCCTCTCTGTGTTCCTATTTCCTTGCGTCTGTGATTCCCTCTTGGTCTGTGCGTGTCTCGGTCTCTCCCCGTGTGTGTGTGTTGTTACTCTGTGCGGCATTCTCCCCCGCGCGTGGCTGTTTACTGGCTTGCCACCCGGCTGCAGTTATTGGTCAAGGGAGGAGGGTGGTGTGTTTTGACGTCGCTCCTTGCACGCCGCCAACCCCCGCATCGCTGCTCTCCCGTTGCACGGTTAAGAAGAATTTCTCCCTGCAGCTAAAACTCTCGCAATGCAACTGCTGACGTTGGCACGACCATGCTGATGCCCATGACGATAACGACGATGAAGCTATCGCTTCTCATATCTTCATCATCTTTCCACAAGGCTACGTATGTTGATCTATATCATCGCTCAAGGTGAAAAGATAAAGGTGGAGCCCTGTACGTGCTCGCTCACCCCACTGCCTGTAGAAAGGGCCTCCGCCCGTAGCGAGAGCTCTAGACGATCTCTCCAAGATGGTATTTTTGGCCTCCTCTTCGGCGCTGACCGGAAGTTTTGGAAGACGTGGGAGTGCCTTTCCTATACGTTGCACTCGAATCGTGTAATTACGTTGTTGGTTCTAACGGTTTGACCCGCCCACTACTGGACATCTGCGCAAAAAAAGCTGTGTATCTCATCGGATTCCTCCAGCCTAAGTGTACAATATTCTGTTTCTGAGTACCCACGCTTTACCCCACACGCGCCATGCGGATCGATAAACTAGCGGGTACCAATTTATACTGCTGGGCGGGGGCTTTGTGGGGGGGGGGGGTACATATTCTTGGTTCTTTCGGTAAAGTCACGTAGATAGAACATTTTAAAAATTAAAATAAGAATAAAATAAAATTAAAAATAAAAACCAAAAAAACACACTTTACCGAAAGAACCAAGAATATGAATTCCTGCAGTCACGAAAGTTTTAAGTCAATTTGTGGGGGGGGGGGGGGGGGGGGGGGGTAGTTTCAGAAACATGGCAATTGTTTAACCTGCCTCGAGATCGCACGAGCGACCTTTAGATTGCCCAGCCAGTGCGCTCCCGTCTGTCTGTCCGTTGGACTTCTTTCGCACCCTACGCACCCAACCGTGCTCATCGGAGGTGCGGGGGAAAGGCAACAAACGAAAGACAAAAAGCGGTTCTCAAGATGTGTGTTTACAAGCTAGATTATTTGAAAGTGCATAGCTCCACGTGTTATTCGTAATAAAGCGTCAGGATGCGCGTCTGCATTGCTCTCGGAGTAAGCGTGTGACAAACACTATCGAGCGTCGTTTTGTTGGGTTATGAACGATACGTTTTAAAAATAACCAAGTGGACATTCAACTCGGGTCAGGAATATAAAACCCTCCAGTATCCCCCTCCCCTCCCCGTCCGTTCTCCCTTGGCAAAAGCCGTCGGAAGAATGCTCTTGAATCATTTAATCGATTCGAAGTCGTACGTGCGTATGTACGTTATGTAGAACTTCTTTCGCATCGTACGGAGCCAACCGTACTAGTCGGAGGTGCGGCGGCGGGGGGGGGGGGGACCAAGCAAATGAAACTAAACACAAAAAGCACCACCGATTGTCATTTATCGGAGTTCACGTTGGACATTCGTGATGCGCGCTGCACTGTGAACCCGGACGGCCTCGAGTTCGATTCCCGGCCACGGGTGCCAACGGTGGGACCCCTCCCGCACGACGCCTCCACGTCCGCTCTGCTAAGCCGCAGTCACCTCGCTGCCGCCGGCACGTCCACTGATCGCGTCGCCACATCTTCCTTCAACCGCTGCAGTCGTCCTCTCGGGCGCGTGCTCTTCTTTCCGTCGGCTGCCATTCCCTTCACTAGCCCAGTCCGTCATTCATCAGCCTAGAAGAGTCACCGCGAGGTGCGCCGCCACAACTCGCATGTCTCAACGCGTATCAATGCAATTGGCCAAACATCCAATTCAGGCGTCATACTCGGTGAGGCTTTCCGATTAGCACGGCCGGCTACGTACGGTGCGAAAAAGAAGTTCAACATACATATCGTTGGAAACGGTGGCACAGTGGTTAGAGCACTGCGTTCAATTTATGACCACGGCTAACATTAAGTGGCGAGAGATATCTCGAAGGGTCCCCGGCTCCCCCCTCTTCACCAACCAGCACTGACCAGCGTGGTGAAGTATGGTCCTATAACGTTCATGACCGATCGGCACCGGCGTGGGGAGGCCTTCATCCTGAGCAGTGGACTACCCAAGTGCTGTACACATAATAATAATAATAGAGTTTCCCCCTTTTTTTTCTGGCAACAAAACTGAAACCTTTTTTACGAGGAATCATGTGTGCATTAACCACAATGCTTGTGGTCAAAATGCAAAAAAAATAAAACACACTGATAATATATGCGCTAATCGGAGGTGGGGGGGGGGTAAAACGACAAACTAAACACACCATCACTACCACCACCGCTACATTAATAAACAAACATTCAGCAATACCATTGTACAGTGCCTTAACAAGAGAAATTACGTAACTTAATTATATAATAGGCTACGTCAGAGGCAACGGCCCTTCTTCTTAAGCGCATCAAATTAAATCATCACGACAACCACCGCTACGCAGCTGAGCCCCATTCGGTCTCGCCGGCTTTCCCTTCTTACGTAACTCGCGGCCACGTGCCGTAAGCCGCATCAGGAGCATATTAATCATGCGCTAAACGCGACTTGATCGCCTGCCAGAGCTGCCCGTGACCGACGAGGCGATAATTTGCCGCAAAGCGCATCACGAATATTTGCAACGCCACGCAAATTGGGAGCATTCGCACGCGCAGCGTCTCTCGATGCAACGCGTGGATTGTTGCACCACCGCCAGACCGCGAGAAATTGGCGTCGGATTGGGGTTGCCTTCATCCAGCAGTGGATGGAGACATGGCTTATTATGATGATGACGACGATGACGATGTTGATCATGACGACCAAATGTATCATCAATGGACCTCCATGGGTTTTTTTTTGTTCACTTAACGCTGTACATATAGCGGTGAGTGATAAGGGTGAGGTGAGTTGATGACCTAATCGAGGCAAAATTACCTAATGTGTAGTCATTTGAAGCTGAGTGCCAAATGAGTACCCTAACCCCCACAATCCCTCCCACCCCATCCCTAGCCAACCCCACCGATTACCGCAGAACGAGAAGCGGAATGTTAACTCCGCTCGGCCGCTGCTGCCCGATTTGAAGCGTCCATCTCATATATCCAACACCCCTCCACCCACCCACACCCCACCCTCGCAAACCAATGGCAAAACAACATGGCCGTAATCGCACTGACCAACCAAAGCCCGATCCGCTCCGACCTAAAGCTGTTCGCTGATGACATTGCTGCGATGGTGTTTAGCAGATCCGGTGTGCCAAGCTGAAACAAGATTTTTGGCTTACTCCGAATGCAACTAAATTATCTAAAACTTGTCCTGAATGAAAACAAGAGCCCTAAACAAATCGAATTTCGAGCTTGTTCCACTTCGAATCGCTTTTGAACCTCAGAATTTGTGTTCAAGTCTACACGCAGCAGATCGCTCTAATTTGCATACCGAAAGGCATTCATATTTCGTGTGCGTGTGTGATGCGTCCGACTGGCAGTGCATTATCTGTACCGGTTGTGCCGTGACGTTGATGAAGGACCTTGCCATTCATAACTTGTACACATATTCTTGTTTTTTTCGGTAAAGTCACGTAGAAGGGAAACAATAAAATAAAATATAAAACAATAAAATTCTCACGACGTTTCGACTGCAACACAAGCAATCATCATCAGGTGTGAAACCCACAGCAATAAATTTTGACTATACAATCCGCAAAGCTATCACTCAAACCATGAAGAAGGACCCTCTTGAGGAGCCTTTCAAAACCATCACTTTACCCTGCATTGCGGGGATCACAAAAAAGATCTCCAAAATCTTCAATAAACACAAGATCCAGGTCTGTTTCAACACATTACATAAAATCCGTGATCTGGTTCCGTCTGTAAAAGATGTGATTCCGGACATACAGTACCCTGGTGTCTACAAACTAAGTTGCCTCTGTGGTAGTAGTTACATTGGAGAAACCAAACGACATCTCTCGGACCGCATTCGTGAACACAAAGCAGACCTTAAACACGGTAGGACCAACACTTCGGCCGTGGCAGATCACTGTTATAATTCAGTAGGCTCACATGACATTGACTTCTCCAAGACAGAGGTTCTTTGTAAGCCATCTAGCTACCATGAGAGATTCGTTCATGAGGCTTTCCACATATACAAACACAGAGACAATTTCAACCGAGAAGATGGATTCTGGCTTAGCAATGATTGGAAGGATTTGATAAACCATTTCGGGTCTTAAATGATTGTTCACGCTTACGGTGGCTTTCAGACAGCATACATACATTTTTCGTCTCCCCCCTCCTCTTTTCCGAACATAGATGGACTCGTCCATCTAAACAAACTGTCAAATCGCCACTTCTTTCAAATGTTCTTGCCGTTGGTTTTCCCACCTGATGATGACTGCTTGTGTTGCAGTCGAAACGTCGTGAGAATTTTATTGTTTAATATATATTTTATTATTTTATTGTTTCCCTTCAACGTGACTTTACCGAAAGAACCAAGAA